TGCTTGTGATCCGTACTGTGGGCAGGGGGACCGGTGCAGCTCCTCCGTGTGGGCGGCCCATGCTGGGGAATGATGCGCAGGCGATGAGGAGTGCCGCGCCATCATTGCTGACTTGCCCCTCGATGGTACCAGTGGACGAATCAGCACCAGAGACTTGTCATGCCTCGGGGAGGAAGATGGCAGCGTGAGCTCCAGCAAGTCCCGAGCAGTCTCAAATGCCTCTGGCATGGAGGGCAGCTGCAGCTCTCGGCTCTGTCGGGCCGGAGAGTGGTGGAGGTCCGGACTTGACTGAACCTCCAAGGGGGCAGGAGTTGACACGACCCTGGTAGGCAGTGGGGCAGAGGCATGGCCTGTCTCGGGTCTCACGGAGGCAGGCTCTTTAGGTTTGGCTGGGGGAGAGCGGCCCCTCTCCAGCCTCCTTTTCTTCTGGAGGTTCTGTGCCTCCCTGTGGCCTGCATCTTGTTGGCAGAGCTGTGGCAGTGCCAAGGGTCTGTAGAGGAGTCCTTCTCGGCACCAGCTCGTGCACCGCCAGTGCACTTCACACCAAGGAAGAGGTGCTCAGAGTCGGCTCTGTCGAGCCAGGGTCCAATTGCAGACAGCTTGCGGCCTCCATCAGGAGGATATTAAGGTGCTGCTCCTGGTCTTTAAGGGTTCTCCAGCGAAACCCCCTGCAGATCCTGCAGCACTCCTTCAGGTGGCTCTCCCCCAAACACTTCAGACACAAAGTGTGCGGTTTCACTCCTGGGCATACCATTGTAGTGGTTTCCCCAGGAATTGAAATTGGGGGGGGGGTCCGAATTTACAGGGAGGGGTGTCAGGACCGATGATATATATAAAAGATATGAAGAAAGTAAATGTTTTGTTAGGATAATGCAAATTTAACATAAGGATAATGCAAGTTACAACAAAACACATAACAGGTCTAGATTTCTAAAAAAATATACATTTTAAAAAAATGTATTTAATTTAAATTGACTTTTGAAAAGTAAGCCATCATGGGATAAGAGGGAAGTCCTCTCATGGATCAGTAACTGGTTAAAAGATGGGAAACAAAGAGTAGGAATAAGTTATCAGTTTTCAGGGGGGCTGTCTGTAAGCGAGGACTGGCCTGTCTCCCAAAGTCTGTGAGAGTGAGGGATCGTTTTCCAGGATAGGTTGTAGATCATGGATGATGCGCTGGAGAGGTTTTAGCTGGGGGCTGTACATGATGGCCAGTGGTGTTTTGTTATATTCCTTGTTGGGCCTGTCCTGTAGTAGGTGATTTCTGGGTACCCGTCTCCCTCTGTCACTGTTTCCTCACTTCCCCAAGTGGGTATTGTAGTTTTAAGAATGCTTGATAAAGATCTTGTAGGTGTTTGTTTTATTTTATTCCCCCCCCCCCCAAAAAGTAGGAATCTAAAGACTGCTATTACTTACTAATTACTGGCTAATGCTAAGAACGACTATAAAAACTACTAGAATAAAGACTAGGGCACAGTTGAGGTAAAACAACATGGACAAGTGCCAGAGGTCCACCTCAGGCTGAGGCACCTGAAAAGAACTGAGGGCAGTTTGCCCATGCAGTGCTATATAACAATGGCACAGGGCACAAGACTGAGTAACACGCATGCACAGGCTAAATGGACACTGCTATGAGAAATCTCCAATCAAAGGCACAGGTGGCTCAAGCACACCTAGAGTGAAGCACCCCTGGAGATCCTACTTGAAGAAGACAAGAGCTAATCACTTCCTCTTTGTAGTTGCTTTCTCATTCAGGGCTGAAGCAGCACTCTGTTTGAGAGCCAAAAGGCATGGGCCAGCTGCTGACAGTTTCAGAGTAGCAAACACACTCATTTCCTGGTATCCCTGAGAATCACAGCAGTTGTGGTAAATCACCCAACAGAAAAGAGACCCAGTACATTAGTGGCCTTAAATGGATCCTACATTGGACTGGGAGCCAGTGCAGCATAGGAACCATCAGGTTGAGGCAGTCTCAAGTTTCCCTGTTAGTAGTGAATACCTCTTTGGTGTCAACCCTACCTACTGTATAGAACATTGCAATCATCCATGCCTGGAGGTAACAAATATGCATCCACTCTCTAAAACACATTCCAAATTCCACTGGCCTAGAAAGTTAAGAGCCAACCAGTTTGAACTGTAATTTAGCCATTTGAGGGAAGCTTCATTAACAGAGCTTTTGAGTATGAATTACATGAAAAAAGTGAGCATACTCATTTTTGCACTCCACAGTGTGAAGGCTGGTATAGAATAGGCAGAAGCTTCTGAACTAACAGCCACTATTTCTCTGCCCAATCCTGTTTCCATGTCACTCAGGGCAACTTACTTTTCATAGCTTCCCCTAAATCAGCAAGTTTAAACAGTTAAAATTCAATTTTTTTCCCTCCTGCAATTCAAAGAGAGAAGCAAAAGCTATTCCCAGTACATGCCCTGTTTTAAAGGCACATTGTAGTCTGACTTACTCTTACAGTTCCAGATTTGCAGGTAGTTATCTTAGACTTACTAAGAGTCTCTCATAGGACAGAAAGGCTGTTATGTGGGTGTAAAGCACCTGCTCCAATTCTTGCCCTTCAAGGAGTCAGGTGTATATGAACCTCTTTCCTTTCTGTCTCCTATGTTAATTTTCAGTGCTTAGATAGATGAACAAAAAAAAACATTGGCTTGTAAGTAATTCTTGGTGAGCTGTAAATTTCTTATCTTTTTTGAACACCCATTGAAAACTTTATTGAATTAAAATGCCATGATTTTCAATCCATAGATCTATAGCATGCTGTTTTCTAACCCTCCCAGACAAGACACTCATGTTTTGACAAAGATGAAGCTTAGTTGTTGTAGTCCCAGACCTGAAGAGCTCCGTGTAAGCTTGTCTCTCTCACCAACAGAAGTTGGTCCAGAAAAAAGGTATTACCTCACGCACCTTGGTGCTCTAAAGATGCATCTTAGCAATTCTAATTAAGATACATAATAAAGTTTTAGCTTGGGATTCAAATAATACAAAATATTTTGTTGGTCATTAACATTTAAAATCAAGTGGCAAATTCTTCTCTTTGTTAATCTCTGATGTGTTGTAGAAGTGAGATTTTCCACTCAATCTACTGGCACAGGGACAAAATGCTAACCATATATTGTCCCCTACAGGCAAGTTAGGTTAGCAGTAGACCTGCGCTTACACACACCAAGTGTCACCATCCCAAAGAGGAGGAAAAACCAAAAGTGAGAGAGCCAATTCCTCCCACTCAACACTCAGCCACAGAGATTATATTGAGGGGGACAGAGCAAACCAAAATGCATGGGATTCAGTTTTAATCTAAAACTATAACAGTTTTGCTTGAGACTAGTGGGTTCTTAATGAGTTCACCCAATAGCGTGCTTTCATATCATAGCACCCAAAGAAATGCACTTTAAGAGTCTCATGGCCTGATACTCTGCCAATGTAAATGGGCCTTAATGTAAATGGGATTAGGCCCCGATTGTATACTGTACCCAATAATTGTTCTTTCTGCCCACCCCATTGCATGTTTTTCAGCAGCTAAAATAAATCAAGTATCACAGGCGTGCATCACTCTGCACAAACAGCTCACATACATACAAACAAAAAATATTCCTGAAGTTCCAAATGCATACAGCCGCGGGTATGAAACCATTTAAGCCAATACTGGAGAGGGTAGGAATTGAGACCTGAACTGTTCCTGTGGAAACTTGTAATTGTATTTAGCTTGTTGGACTGTCTCCAGGAAGACATAAGGGGAATTAATTATATGGTAGCCTTCAAATTAAAGAATAATTATTTCCTGCCTATTCTATTGCCACTTTTATTTTTTTAAATAAAAATATCACCTTTGAACTCAAATAACAGGTTCAAGACCACTTTTAGACTATGAAGCCATGCTCTATACCTTCTAACCTGTGGCTCTCAACCTATTTACCACTGTGGACCACATAGGCAGCTGTCTAAGTATTATGTGGGCTGCATCCACACAATACATATATACTACCTGTATATCTACAAAAAGAGTAAGGTTTAGTGTTGTTTTATGACAGCAATATGATTCAAGTCGATATAGTACTTTTCACTTCAACATGGGCAAATGTCTACCAAAAGCATTTTAAACTAGCAAAATAAGTCAAAACATTGTAAAAAATAATTTGTCAGGGTGGCCCGGCATGGTGAATTGCCACCCTCACTTCTGCGCTGCGGCTGGGCTGAGTACCCGGAGAGCATAGCTGCAGAGGCTGCCTGCCAAGATGGGCAGCCCCGCCCAGTGCAGCATGCATTCCCAACTCAGGACTGCCCCCCATGCACCCTGTCCCCCACCTAGGTACTGCCCCCCAGCAACTTCACCCAGGACTGCCCCCACAGGATTCAACCCCTCCAAGGACTGCCCCCAGCTACCAGTCCCCCCACCTAGTCTGTCCCCCATGCACTGCCTGCACCCTGCAGCGCCTTCCCATGTTCATTGGTCTCCTACCTTGGCTGCAGGAAGCTCGGCGATACAACATGCCCTGCCCACCACGGTCCTAGTGCCAGGGAGCCTGCTCCAGCTGGGGTCACTGGACCCGCAATCCTGCACAGTGGGGCACTGAGCACCCTGCCCTCCTCCTGATGCTGCTGGGCCCAATCCTGCTGGGGGGCACTGCTGCTGCTGGGCTTGATGCCACAGGCTAACCCTGATCCTGTACTGCCCCATGTCCCCCACCCCCAGCTCCGCATCCTGGGTCAGTGCCCCTTCCACTCCATCCTAGTTACAGCCCTGAGGATGTCACATGGGTCACACGTGTGCTGATTGGGCTGCAAGCAGCCTGTACATTGAGAACCACTGTGCTAAACCATGAGTAGTCCTTGGCTGTGCTCTTATTGCCACCTGCTCAGACAACAGGAGATGTTGAACCATTTCTTGTTATCTCATATTGTGGAACCGCAGTCATTTGCTCAATTGACTGATCCTATGCTGCACTGAATTTTGCAAATATCAAAGGTAAAAAAACAGACTGGTGGGAGACAATTCAGGACAACACAAATTTTATTGTACTGTAACACCAAAAGGACACGAAGAGTACTGCAGAGAATCACTCCAACAGCGATTTTCAGGCTCATGAAGAGCTGACTCACTTGAGGCACAAGTTACACTACTGTTTATGTACCTTGATTCAAAATAGTTCTGGTATGTGAATCTACATTGTGTTCCCGCTAAACGACATAGTTCTATAGTAAAGCTACTTTTAAGTTAATAGGTGACAGATTTAAGCCACGGGGTGGCCAAAGCACAGCCCAGTGGCCAAAGGAACCCTCTAGAATATTACACCCCCACCCTCCTGTCTGCTGTTTCAGATACAGAGATAGAGCCTATGGATGCCTTGGTTTGTTTACATTGCTTGTTAGTGGAGTTAAACAAATATTAGTTGCTGGTTAACAAAAATCTAAGTTCAGGCAGAAACTATATCTATGCATATTTATTTCTGATAAAGAACGGTACATAACTAACATTCAAATTAGGTGCAGCCATTGGGCTCTTAAGTTGTCAATGTGGTTCCAAGTCACAATGTTTGGGCACCCTTAAGAAAGATAATGGAGAACACTTTTGCCAAGAGGTAAGTAAGATTTCAATATCTTAAAATAGTTGACTTCTACAGGAAGGAAGCAGGAATCAAGTCAGTAATTACAACCAGGCAAGCCTGTTCTTCTAGTCAGAAAGACAAAAGGTGTAACATCACAATAGAAAGATGCAACAACATTTTGAGAGATAGATACGAGTTTCAATACCAGAAGCAGCGTTTGAAAACAAGCTGTTTAAAAAAGTTGCAGGTTGTATGCTGTATGCATGAATGCACATGCTACCATTCTCCTCCTCCTCCCCTGTAGCTGTGTTTTAAACACAAAATCTTGGGTTAAAAAAGAATGCCATTTGAACAAGAATTAAGATTTGCAACAGCTTTGTCTACTTAATGAGGTTAGTAAAGAGATGAAAAGGAAAAAAAAACCACATTCACTACTGCAACAGTAGTTACTCAGTAAACCCCATCATTACAAACAGCTTCTGATTTTTAAAGCAACACAAGACTAAACAGACAATTATTACATAAGCATAGTAATAATCTAATAAGTTACATCAGTTAAAAGAAAAAAAGCCAAGCAGTTTTGCCCCATTTCAAAAATAGCTTCCAATCGCAATTATATGGTGAAAGGGACTTTACAAATAAATGAGGACTGGTGACATCTTTGGGTCAAGAATGACAAGAAAGAATGGGCTCTGTGCTACCGATCAACCTCAACAAGAATATGGCACAATGGCCAGCACAAGCCGTTCCAACACTGAACCTTTTGCACTCGTCACAAATTCAGATCTCTTTTCTTAAACTAGTATATCTGGTGAAAGGACTGGGTAAAAAAAGTTAAAAACTTAGATCAAAAATTGGAAAGTAAATTAAAAAACCCCTTTGGACTTAAAATAATTTTCTATTGATGTATCAGTTTATATGAACTAAAAACCAATGATTTCTCTAACAAAAGATCTATCCAGATTATTTTCCTTTCAGCCCACTGTTAGCTGTAGATACAATCTCAGATTTAAGAGATATAAATGCAAAGGAGAAAAAAATTACAGCATCTGTTCAACATTCTCTACAAACAGCTGTTGGGAGAAAAGTAAAAATTAAATGAATAAAGAAAGGAAGTTTCCATCTGAAATTCTCTCGCAATCTTTCCCAGTCCATAGTTCAATGAATCCAACTCTGATGCTAAGGTGACAGTGTATACAAGTAGAATTTTTTTGTTGTTTTTTTATTTTATTTTTTATTTTTTGAGTTTCACTGAAGAAAACCAGAAAAGAGGCTGACATCTCTTCAGGAATTATCGGACGGAACATGCTCTTCAAATCCTTCACTCTCTCGGACCAAAGCTCTTTCCAGGATAACACGGCCTTCCTTGTAGCGCTGGCTGTCTTCAGTGGCAAATTCATAGATCCAACCCAGTTTGCTGTTGCAGTTCTTGCAGCTCACGTCTCGAACCATGTGGCGGCCAGTGAGCATGACCCGATCTTGAACTTCACTATATTGTAGATTTACCACCTGAGAAAAATATAAAGGGAATGAGGAGAAGAAAGGTTAGGCCTACCGAAGACAAGACTCTTAAAGCATTTTCCAGTTACTAGGAAATCCAAGGTACCTCTGTCAAAGTACAAATGTCTAAGTGAAGAGCCTGTAGCACTGTGCATATTGGGCGCTGAAACATAACAGGTGAAACTACCAAAGTTCTGCTGCCTGTGAGGGCAGAGCTTTCAGAGATCTACCTCACAAGGGTGTTCGGAGCCTACATTGTTTGTGAAGCACAGCGAGATCCTGCTACAGAAAGCATAAGTGCAAAGTATTATTTAGTTTGCCCAACTAAGGCATAGCAATTAGATAAAGCTACTCACAATGCGACAGTTTAGTTAGTAACCCCTTGATGTCAGAAGTAATTTCTTGATATCAAACCCATTATTAGCAATGGGTGTGATCACAGGAATGGATCAGTCAATTTAGTCACTGGAATATTAGAGTTAAAAACTGTTTTCAGGAAAAAAATTAAGATGAGATTTAGGAGCATAAGTCCCATTGACTTTCAACAAAAGTCAATGGGACATGTGCTCTTAAATCCCTTTGGTACTTTTGAAAATCCCACCTCTTAAGATAAACTGAGTGAGCTGACAAGTGCATGCCTTTTAGGGACGGTACAAATGCATGCCTTCCTTTCCTTTATCCTAGCAGTTAAAAAAATCCACCTGTAACTTGTTTAGGTAACTAAACATGTGGAACTAGTGTAAATAACTTGCTGAAAAGTAACAATGTCTATGACAATTGTAATGGAGATAATAATCTGATACTTTACAGTGATGCAAGTTGGGGTTGCAGAGATCAACAATCATAAAGCCTTAGCCAAAACTCTGTTTCTCACAAACACAATTTGGACCCAAAGATCCAATACTTTTTGGCCTAGTATGAAGACAGATTTACTGATGTCTTTCCCTACACACTTGCAGTATACGGAAGAAGACTTGCATATATGTGCTACTGACAGAACTCAGCACACACCACAGCTGTGCTTTCTGAAACCACACACAACAAACTGAAGACACTTCTTGCCTGTACCTGGGAGGACTATGCTAACAAAAAAGTGTTACCAACGTCTGGTTGCTGATGGTCAATTTCAAGAAAATACACCCCTGATTACCTGGCCATATTTGTTGAGAAAGCACAGAAAATCTGTGTTATTAAGCTAGAGTCAACCTAAAAAAACCTGGTCTCTACATAAATATTTACCAACATCACCCACCCACACTACTGGGAGCCATATTCTGTGCTCATTCCCAACTCTGCCAATCTTAGTCAAGATACCAACTTGTACATCACTATACCTGCCTGTAAAATGGGGACAGTATTTATCTACACACTTGCAATGGTGTTGTGAAGTTTAAAGATATCATAGCAATAGGCATGGTATAAAAATCTGGAATAGATTAGACAAAAAATGAATGTAAATCTCTTTGGAACCCTGCATAAAAAGTATTATTACAATGAACCTGCACTTTACATTATAGAATTCAGAATACTTCGAGTTTAACTGCATGCACTTTGGCAAGATACTAAATTCACAATCCTCCCTGTAGCCTTTTAAGCATTAACTCCAATAGTTTAGGCAGTTTATGGTGAAATTTCAATGACCTAAAAAGAGCAAGTTAGGAAGAAGGAAAAAAAAAACCACCCTTTAAACAAAAATCACAACAGCAGGATGTCAACTGAATCCAAGAAGGTTTAACAGTTAGCATGATGATGGATTCTTAGCCCCCCACAAACTTGATTTTCAAAAGTAAGAAGCTCTCTCTCGTGTCATCTAGTTTCTTACCAACCTTATTAAAAAGGAAGGCTCTCCCTGTGGCCCCTGTAAAGCGAGTTGATATGAGCTCAGAGCGGTTGGTCAGGATTGTATCACAGTTTGCACAGGAGAACAGACGAGTGCCACCAATATGGTCCAGGAAAATTCTGCCCATTTTTATAAGTTCTTAAATTTAGACTCAAGACCTGAAAGCAAACAGAGATATTTTATCCATACAGCAAATTCACATAAGACTTCCTCTGACATATGGCCAGAACACATTGCAGGGTAATTCAGCCGACGAATATACAAACCCTTTATGATCTATTAAGTATTGAACTTACGGTTTGTGTTGATCCTTTATTCCTTAACCCTGATGGAAATAGAGACTAAGAACCTAACCAAAATCAGGAGGCTCTCTCCTAAATTTTCTTGTGTCCCATCAGAACGTTATAATTTTCAGGAATGCGTTATGAAGAAATCAGTAAATATACAGCTGGCAGATCAGAACTCTGTAAAATTTCCAAGTGGTGGGCAGCTTTTAACTAAATCTCTCCCTTTGACTTAAATCAACATCATGCAGCTTATACCCCCACACAATATTTGAAGGGGGAAGGGAGAAGCACAGAAACCCAGAGCAACCTCAACTCTTAATTTCCTTGCTTGTATGTGGCTCAAGCTGAATCCTTAACCCTTAATTTTAAAACCAGATTTTTAAATCATTTCCTTCAGATTTTTGGTAGAACAAAAATAAAGAGTTTGTTTTTAAAAAGGTGACCATCACAGTCATTACAGTGACACTTGTGTTGTCATAGCTACACCATCATGTTAGTACAGGTATTTGACACTTTCATTATGAAAAAGCATTTCTCTGAGTTTGATCAGACTTGATACATGGCCAATTCAACTGATACGATAACTGAATTGTCTATGCACTGGGTATGAACATCCCACCCAGTCAGTTGCCTGAAACACTTCAAGGAGGACCAAGATGTTACCAATGCAAGAATGTGTACATAAGACAGTGTTTAACATAGTAGGCTAGGCGTTTAACATAATAGGCTGAAGCTGAATTCAGGCAAGATTGAGGTCATTCTGGCAGGGAGAGGGATGCTCGATAGGATTTGCCACATCCATACCATCCTCCTCCAGCAAAAGAATCAGCCCTCCAATCATTAAGACAGTTAAGACTTGGGGTCCTTCTGGACTCCTTGATAGCAATTTGGTTATTTGAAGTAAGAGTGCCATCTTGCATCTATGGGTAGCCTGAAGACTGCACCCTTGTCTATCAGACTGATTTGGCCACAGTGATACATACATTCATTATCTCCTGATTACTGCAATTTATCATACCTATGAGTGGAGCTTTATTAGGGTCAACAGCTTCAGTCAGTTGAGAACACAGCAGCTACTCAGCAACACACAGAGTACTGGACAGCATATCGTACTCAGCTCTTTACATTTGCTACCCATGGGGAAAAAAATCAAATTCAAGGCCTTGATCATGAGCATGGGAGGACACATTTTTCTCAGCAGCTGGCCTACAATAGTGGAACTCTCTCTTTGAGCTCATTAGAAGAACCACAAATCTCATTGCATGTTATTTTGAAATTAAACTTCATTTAACTTAGCGTGTATTTATTTTATTCATTTAGTAAGGAAATGTTACATGGCAGTGCAACTTCAGATACCCAAGATAATTGGGAAAAATGTTTCAACTTGTAAGGCACTCCAATAATATGGTGTAAGAACTTAAAGTAAAGATTTTCACTCTATTCACTGAGGTACCATGACCTATCAAAAAATAAAGATGTTTACCTGAACCTTAGACAGTCACAAGGATGTATGTTTCAAGTCTGGAGAAAAATTATCAGTACTTCAAGTATAGATAAAGCATTTATTTGATTTTAAGGTTCTCTTCTGGTACATGTAAATTCATTATATAAATATGTGATATCTTAATGTAAATAGCATATCAAAGGGTATTGACCTCTTATATAGACCTCTATCATGCTGACCAATATTGTCTCACTGTTTCTCTGTACTCCCCCATAGGTCTGTCTGTATCCATCTGTTGTCTCATCTCATATTTGAGGCAGGGACTGGTTTTTTGTTCTGTGTTTGTACAGCACCTAGTACAATGGGGTCCTGGTCCATGACTAGAGCTCCTAGGTGCTAGGGGGAATAAAATTAAATAAGAAGTCAAGATATTTATCATAATACTGAAGTTATTTTCTCATTAGCTTTTATAAATCTCCTTGGAAGCCTGCAACAAATCTGTTTATTGAAAAAGAAAAAATGCCCTTCACTGCACTTGTATACTGATTTGTTATTATACAACTTTATTATACAACTGCTGACATGGTTTTGTTGCATTTTCATCAATGATGCAGTTATGTTTTAAAAGCAAATATGCTTTCTTCCTTAAAAATAAGGAATTGACAGGGAAAGGTAGCATTAAATAGAAAATTTCCATGACTATCCAACCATACATGTTTATTATATTAAAAATAAGAAAATAGTGTGTGCAGTTAGCGAACAAAACTGCGGAAAAAAGTCATGGGTTTTCAAACGTTTTCATAGCATGGAAGGTAACATAAGATTGTCTCAGACACGTCACCTCCCATTCAGTACATGATTGGCATTAATATGGAAGGAAGTGGTCAGCCCATGGATATATTCTATGATCATCTACAGCAATTATTTATGTAGAACAGTAATATTAGGAAAGAAATGCATTTTTAGTGTGTTTTAATGCAATTTAGCAGCAAAAGTAAAGAACTAGCACCATATGACAGCACTGCGCAGCCTATCAGTGCTTCAGACGCCACTGTTTGAGAACCTCTTCTCTAAAATGCCCGTGTAGCGCAAAGCATGTGAGCCCTGTTTGTTTAAATGTCTGCTTAAGTCTGTTGCATGCAAGTCAAGAAACTGCTTTTGAAAAAGGGATCTGTGCATTTTCATAGATTTTTAACTTTGTTTCCAGACTCCAAATCCAGATCAGTCAATACTGCATTTGTGAGATGGTAAAGTACTCTCGGTAATAATGTATGTAAGGGCCCAATCCAACTTCCATTAAAGTCACTACCAAAACCTCCATTGTCTTCAATATGAGCTGGATGGAGCTCTAAAGTTAATTTTACAATAATGTTGTTTTGTTTTTAGGAATCCTATATCTAATACTGCTGCAACTACTGTCTTTTGAAATGGACTAGTCTCTAGACAAGTCAGATCAAATGTGGGAGTATATGATCAATTCTATAGCAAAACAGTGAATGCCTACTGTTACCCTAAGAACCCCTGTATTCACACCCTACACACTACTATAATACTCTTTGCACAAAATATGCTTTGTAGGTATCATCTGAAAACTAATAACTCAATGATCATTAATATTCTTGCATGATGCATATACACAGTGTGTATTAAGAGTTATGGATATATGCTAGGATTATGACTAAAGTATGATTAAACCAGGCATATTTAAAATGTGTTTAAACCAGGGAGCTGGTGAACAGGTCTGCCTTAGACAAAGGAACGTGTGTTTGATTCTTTGACTAGCCCGGTCTTCATGCAAAAAACACCACAAACAAAAAAAACGAAGGTCCATTTTTACTTATTAGGTAAACAAAGCTATTAAGCTACCAAGTGGGTGAAGAAACAGCATAAAGCTTTCTTCATTAACAGACTCCATGTCACTTTCCTCACATCTTGAATAAACTTTACTTAGAGGGATTACCCAAGCCCAAATGTCTACACTGCAATATTACAGCTCCGCAGCCAGAGTCAGCTGACCCAGACCAGCTGTGGGTGTTTTATTGCGGTGTAGACATGTGTGACTTGCCCAAGGAAGCCTGTTGCAGATCAAGCACTAAGCACTGGACTAGCCTCTCTTTCTATTGATTTCAACAGTACTACTCACAATTGTAAGGTTAGCTACATCATAACTATTTGCAGGATCAGTGTCCTGGGCAGTCTCCAAGGCCAAACAAAGCTGTGAAGCACCAGACAGTGCAAGAGAAAAGAGGAACTACCTCAGGGTAGAGACTGTCCTTTTACTGGGTGTTTATACAGCACCTTATACAGTGAAGCCCCAATCTGATCACAGTAGGGCTCTGGGCCCTACTGTAATACAAATAAGAGTCATAATAACATGCCCTCCAACACTTGTAGTATAGTCCTGGAAAAGTACTCAATATTGTAATAGATATTTCCACAGCTGCAGTCTTCTGCAAAACAGCTACTCCACAGCATAGCCCCTACACACAATTGCCTGTGGCCACTTCCTCCTTTTGTTGCCATATGTTGGTAGGACAAGGGCAGGAGATGAGCATAGCAGGACATATTGGAGTGCTCTGAACAAGGAGGGAATAGAAGTACAATCAGATGTACCAAGTGAGTGAGCCTGCAAAGAACAGTAACTCACATCTGCGAACCACAGCCTTAGGCTTAATGATTGTGGCTCTTGTATTCAAAACCCTATGCTCCCTCCTCATCTAAGAATTTATTCTCTCTACTGAAGCCCTGACATGCCATTCCAATAAAACTCATCCATCTTAGTCAACACTTGGATAAGTCACTTAGTATTACCTCTGTGGTAATACTGTGAATCAGCAGGATGGTTACAGATTAATTTTTCTGAGTCACTTTAATACTTATTTTGTCATGTCCCAAGCTTGTCACATACAACCACGTTGTAATGCTTCACTATTCTACACAATGCTAAAAATCATCCAGGATGCTTTAGTTCCTCTAGTAAAGCAGATTGGGCCACAATACTTAGCTGCCTGTTGCAGAACCTGGCAACACTATAGCTTCACATACATAATAGTGTAGTTAAGCTTCAGATGCTATTTCACATAACAAACAACCCACCTTCCAGAGGCTTTAGAAGTAGACAGCTTGTATATAAACCTTTTCTATTATAAAAAATGGATAGCTTAAAATGTTTATATGTCTACCCTGGGTATTTCTAGGCACCATCACCGAAGCAGCTGAGCAATTCTCCTAACTTGCAAAAAGGAGCTAAAGTAAGTTAGTTGTGTTGAAGTTGCCAAGATATTGAAAATTAGCCATTAAGTATGCACAGAAGATACCCAAACAGCAAAAGGAGATAATGAAGGATAACACTGTATCAAACAGAGGAATATGTTTTAAATGTTTTACTGAATCATTTATCTTATATCCATTTCTCTCTCTTAAAGAAGCTTTACAACCAAACAACTTTTGTTTATACAAGCTCAGTTAAAGTACTGCTTTCTTTGTGTTTCAGGTCAAGAATCAGTTACCAAGAGGAATCAGAAGAGAATATCTTCCTTCTCTTCCCCTACTACTGCATCGCACAATGAGTTTGGGCATTATGTGTGTGAGGAAGGGTGTTTGGTTTTCTTGTGAAGATCAGATATCGGACAACCAGAGACAGGACACACAACTTGGACACTTGGTCTGATCTGATATGGTGAATCTTAAGATAAATATTTTCCCACTTCAGATTTCCGTTTCTAGCGGTTCTATCTCCTAAACAGAAATAAGTTGCTTCATAGGCATGAAAAACTAATTAACACAAAAATCTCACAACCATTCTCACCTAAAACATACTTTTAAAGTAGATGGCAGTGATTTTCTTGTTGCTTTGTATTGCCACTTTATATGGTAACGTGGTTTGTTTGGTAATGAAATAAGCAGCCTATTATTGAACAGAAGTATTTTACCACAGGTTTTATGTATTAAAATGTTGTTTGAATTACATGTTTCTCAAAAACCTTATTCACTGTTTAAGTATATATAACTTCAAGGTAGCAGTGTTAGATTCTGCAACTCCTTTTCAGTCAGCATGTACTGTGCTTCTTTTAAACAGTAAATAAAGCAGGTCTCTCCACTTGATAAAACAATTTCAGCATTACAGTTGAATGTTAAGTGGCAAGATATCCCTTTCTAGCATGGTTTTATCTTACTTGGTAAAAGGAGGGAAGTAAAAGCAGCAATAAAAGTTTAAAGTTTTTGTAACAAATGGAAAAAATGGTGAAGCTGATAGCAAAGAGTACAAGCCAGTACTCAGGAAATGAAAACAATTGATAAAGCAAACTAAAGGAAGCTGTGAAAAAATCCACAGCCAGTAAGCTTAAAATGACAACAAGAAGGAATTCTTTAAATATAACCAGGAACAAATGAAATCCCAGCAATGGTATAGGCCCGACACTGAACAAAAATGATAAAATTATCATGAAAAGGCAGAAGTATTCAATAAATATTTTTCTTCTGTATTTGGAAAGAAGCTGGATGGTGTATTCATAATTTACAATGATAATGAAATTCTCTATTCTAATAGTAACTAAAGAACATGTAAAAGAGCAACTATTAATGTTAAACATTTTTAAGTCTGCAAAAATGGATAACTTGCGTCCAAGAGTACTAAAAGCAGTGAGCCCTCTGAACCATTAATGTTGATCATTAACATATCCTGCAATACTTAGGAAGTTCCAGAAGTCTTGAAAAAAAGCTAATGCTGTGCCAATATTTTTAAAAAGGGCAAATGGGATATCCTGGGAAGCTGCAGGCCAGTTAACCTGACATTGATCCTGGTCAAAAACATGGAAAGGTGGATAACGGGATGCAATCAGTAAAGAATTCAAGGATGGTAGCATAACAAAAACCAATCAACATGGGTTTATGGAAAACAAGTCTTGTAAAACAAACAAACAAACAAAAAACGGATATCTTTGATGAGATCACAAGTATGGATGATGATAAACTGTTGGCATAACCAACTTAGACTTCGGTAAGGTATTAGACTTAGTCCCTCATGACACTGTAGTAAAAAAAAAAAAAAAAAAAAAAGCTCTATACAACATCAATGTCACACATATTAAATGGATTAAAAATTGGCTAACTGGTAGATCACAAAAAAAATTAACTGGGGAATCGTCATTGAATGGTGGTTCTACTGGGGCACCACATGTATC